CAGGCTCCTACCCTGGGGGTTTTTAAGAAGAGGTTAGATGAACACCTTGCTGGGGTCGTTTGACCCCAGTACTCTTTCCTGCCATGGCAGGGGGTCAGACTAGATGATCTTCTCAGGTCCCTTCTGACCCTAGAAACTATGAAACTATGAAGCGTGGCAGCAGAGTGGGGGCGCAGGGCTGAATGGTAGGCTCCCTTCCTGCTGCCCACCTCCCATCATTTTTGATGGGTTATTTGCTAGTATTATCATATTACTTGAATCCAAGATAAGGTTTTTTCCCTAATCAACATGGGGGGAAGGTCCTTCATCTTAGGTTCAAGTACAAGTAGGAAGAAGGGGCTGCAGGGTGGGAGTCAGCCTTGGGGGGAGGCAGAGAGTTTGGTTAGTTGGAGGGGAGGCAGTGCAAGGGGCAGACAGCAGGGGTGGCAAGTGGAGGGGGGGGGGACAAGAGCAGGCACCTTGGGAAGGAGCAGGCTAGTGTAGGGGCAAATGACAAGGGGAGGGACAGGCAGACAGGATGACACCAGGAGGGGGCAGGTGGAAGGGACGCAAGTGGTGTGGGGCTGGCAGCAGGGGGCACAGACACTGCAGGAGGGTCAGATGTTGGGGCCAGGAAGCCAGAGGTCAAGTAGGGGGAGGGGACAGCTGGTAAACGGCAAGTATCCGGCTTCTTAACCCCCCTGCCCCCCCCCCCCCGCTGTCCTTTTGCTGCTTGCCTGCTGTACCAGGTGAGGGACAAATTTAAGACAGTTCTCTAGAAATTAGATTTAAAAATGGAAAATTATAATGAATTTCTATTTTTTCCATGTCTGGATTCTAATTAGTGGGGTTTTAAATTCAGGATCATCTTGGATTCAGGGAAATATAGTAACTTTTCTCAAGTCCCTTGCTCTGAGCTATGAATTATAGTGAAAATTGCAGTATGCCTGATGAGTTCCATTACAGGTCCCTGTATTCAGTTGTCTACACCTTTAATTAAAGTTCAGTCATTTAAGCTGCTGATGTATGTTATTTTTGTAGTACAAAGTTTGTGGCACTACAAAAATAAATTGTTCTGTTGTGTGCACGCATGCAGACCCCCCTGACCTGACTGAAGTGCAGTGAAGTTGCCATGAAGGTTTACTTTCCAGTCATGCGGCAGTAGTTCCCTCCACCCCCAGGGGAACCTGTCCATGAGCCTGTCTGGCTTGTCACTTGACCCATCATCCGTTGCTTACTGATAAGTTTGCCCCATCAGCTATTGTTGCCTGCTGAATAGGCCTTGGAAGGAGCAGCAACAGCAGAGCACTGTGGGTTACTGGGAAATAAGAATACCTGTGCACATATTAAATTTGTTGCAGAAAACCTTCCTGTGACAAGTTGCTGTTTTAAGCAGCAACTTTTTGCTGTAGATCTGCCATTTTGCAGCTGGTTTGGTCACTTTTTTAGTACTGTAACATATTGCTACAAGTTTTCTGTCACAGGCAAAAGCACAACAAATATAATGTATCAGAGCCCTTAGACTGATTTTTTTGTTTGTTTGTTTTATATTTATCACAGGCTGAATTTTTTAAATAATTTCTATAAAAGCAGCTAAACCTTTTTTTAGAATGCTGTTGTTTTCCTGCCCCCCCCACTCCCCCCTTGGGGTGGGGGCTTTAGCATTCTCCACAAGCTTCTGTTCATTGCTGTCTCTTCTCAAAGCATCTTATGTTCTTAGGTCGTGTTACTGTGCTTGCACCGTACCTTCATGGGTCTTCCCCTTTTCCTGTCCCTAAGTCATGGCTGGAATTTTTTCCCATATACTTGTTAGATTTCTGGCTACATGCTCAGGCCGTATCTGCTGAATGGGAACTGTTGCTGCGCTGTTTCCGTTCTTACGTGCCATGACTTGTTAACTCCATAAATTAACTTCATCATCCTTATTGTGGACAATGAAGTTGTTTCCTAGCTGTCTAACACTCTGATCCATACAGCAGCACTGTTGCTATCTCTGTTTTGTAGATTTTTTTCTCTCAAACGAATTGATAGTTTCCTATCATGGACCACTCCACTTACTCCCCTCCTTTTCATCCAGGTCTTATTCCTTGCGCTACTAATTATTTCTCTCTCTCCATTTTCTCACACAAGACCCCAGATACTCAAACATGGTACTTGCTGGCTGTCCAGTGCCACAGGTGTGTTGAAATTTCTTCAAAATGGCCACAACATGCTCTGTTTCTTCCCTGCAATGCATAGACTGTGCTTTTCCAAGATGTGTCTC